CTGCTTTCACGCGCAGAGGCCCTGTATACCCAATGCCGCTTCGCAGAAGCGTTAGAGTTGACTTCGTCGATTTTGTCAACTTCCCAGTCGTCTACGGCGCTAACAACGACAACTGCATCCATTCCAGCCCAGAACCATTTGGGCCATGCACCTGCCGTGTATCCCTTACATCTGGCATGCTTATATGAAACTGGTGCCACCAATGCGCTATTCCTTCTCTCTCACACGTTGGCGGATCATGCTCCAGAAGAGTCTTATACCTACCTAGCCATTGGCGTTTACTATCTATCTGTTTCTAAAGTAGCGGAAGCCCGACGATTCTTCTCGAAAGCATCTTTGCTAGATCCCCATTCAGCGCCAGCATGGATTGGCTTTGCTCACACCTTCGCTGCTGAAGGAGAGCATGATCAAGCTATCGCGGCTTATAGCACGGCGGCCCGACTCTTCCAAGGAAGTCACTTGCCGCAACTGTTCCTCGGCATGCAACATTTAGCCTTGAACAACATGTCGCTCGCCCATGAATACTTGTCTGCAGCCTATGCAATGTCGACAGGCGCAACGTCTGGCTCGGTTCCCGCACTCCCTCCCACCCCATCCGCTGCAGCGTCCTCCCTGGGCGGCGATCCATTGGTACTCAATGAGCTGGGAGTCGTCCTCTACCATCAAAATCATCTTGAACCTGCCATAAAATTATTCCGCCAAGCTCTCAGCCTGGTCGCCTCTCTCAATTGCGAGCCAGGAGCATGGGTAGCCACACGAGCGAACCTGGGCCATGCTCTGCGTCGTATTGGACGCTTCACAGAGGCACTAGTTGAATTTGATGAATGTCTTCGTATCGGTGCTGCGGGGGCTAGCTTCGGGTATACCCCATTCTTAGGAGGAAGTGGTGGCAATGCTTCTGGCGCGGCGTCGTCCGGTGTTGGAGGCTACGAGGACCGCGGCTTGATTGGCTCCCTACACACAGCTCGCGGCCTTGTTCTACTTGAACTAAGCCGGACAGTGGAGGCGGTCACCGCTCTCCACGAGGCTGTTCGTGTCCTGGGGGCGAGCGGAAGCGGTGACGCTGCTGCTGGTGCCGGCGTTGCGGGAACACTACTCTCTCGAGCTCTGGAGATCTGGGCACTGGAAGGCAATGAGGCTGAGCCGACGCTGTCTGAAGAGGTCTCACGAGTAGGAAGCGGCAGTCGAAGTTCCAACCGGTCGTCGCGTGACAAAGGAAAGGGTAAAGTTGCCAGGCGACGCGCTATCGCAGAAGAGCCTTATTCCGAGGAGTGGACGGACGAGGTTGCCCAGGTCGATTCTCACAATTTAATGGGCGGCTCGGAGACACTGGAGGACAAGGTGGAGATGGAATTGGACGATGAGGCCGATGGGCTTTTGCGCCAAGCGATGAGCCGCGTCCGAGGCGGTCGAAGCAGACGACGACCTATGTTAAGTCCCGAGGTCGAGGTGGAGGCCAGTGATACGCCTGAGCCTGCCGCGGGTCGTCGTCGAGGGTCGAGGACAATGAGAACTAACGCTAGACATTGATTGTAGTTTGATGCTTAGAAGGCTGGATTTGGATGCATTGCAGTTGGCGTTTGGATGAATTATACCCGGGTTTGTTCATTGATCCTGAGATCTATGGGAAGGGTTCCATTGCATTCGTGGCGTATCTGATGATGCTTTTGTCTCGTTCATGTCGGCAGAAGTGTGGTGGTGTTGGAGAGAGCTGAGGAGGTACTTCTGTCCTCAAGACTAGATAGAAATGGAATTATTCTTTCCAGTGGATTGAGGTCCCCTCATCCTTCTCATAGATCGAGTACCCCCACCGGACATTATCTCTCCGTGTAAACAATAAGTACAAGCGATGGCGCAATCGCCGACAGCTGGGAGACGTCTTACGTATGCCCCAATCTATCTCGGGGCGCTCCGGTCCTATGATAAATATATAACCGGGAAACCAGATAAACAATGTCGTTAGCAGTCATACCGATTGTGCCCACGCTTTTGCATCAGTTATAACTCCAATATGGGTTCAACTCGTCGTCCGAACTTCCTCATTATTGTCGCCGATGATCTCGGATACAGTGACACCAAGCCATTTGGATCGGAGATTGAAACTCCAGCACTTGATTTTCTGGCACGTACAGGAATATGCCTGACCAATTTTCACACCGCGTCAGCCTGTTCACCTACTCGGTCGATGCTGTTCTCTGGCACCGACAATCACATTGCCGGGATGGGCCAAATGGCTGAACACATGAGAAATGCCAAACAATACGAAGGCAAGCCAGGGTATGAGGGATATCTCAATTGGAGAGTAGCCGCCCTGTCTGAAGTGTTACCGGATGCTGGTTATTTCACGGCCATGTCAGGGAAATGGTACGTATCTTCCAGTCAACACATCAATGGTATGTATATAGCAAGCTAACCAATTGGAAAGGCATTTGGGACTGAAGAAAGAGATCGCTCCCTGTTCTCGCGGGTTTGAGAAGAATTTCTCGTACCTCGCTGGATGTGGAAACCACTTCAACTACGAGCCTCAACTGGAACATGCTGGAGATGACTTCCTGGCTCCCTTGAAATCATCCGCATTCTGGATGGAAGGGGACAGATTCCTGGACCGAACTACCGAGCTCCCCTCGGACTTCTACTCAACTACGACCTTCACCGACCAATTGCTCCAATACTTGACTTCCAGGAAAGAAGACGATGACCGGCCCTTCTTCGCCTATCTCCCCTTCACAGCACCCCACTGGCCCCTCCAAGCCCCGCGCGAGCTAATCAACAAATACAAAGACCTCTACAACGAAGGCCCCGAAGTCCTCCGGCAAAAGCGTCTAGAACGCCTCATCCAACTAGGCCGAGTGCCCAAAGACGTCAATGCCGCGCCCATCACCCTCGAAAGGGACGACTGGGCCTGGAGCAAATTAAGCGACGAGGAACGCGCCGACTCAGCTCGCAAAATGGAAGTCTTCGCCGCAATGGTCGACTTAATTGACCAGAACATACAAAGAGTCATCGACCACCTCCAATCCACTGACGAATTAGACAACACTTTCATCCTCTTCATGTCCGACAACGGCGCCGAGGGCGCAATGCTCGAAGCTCTGCCCGTCATGGGACCCTCGGGCAACATCAAGACCATCATCGACAAGTACTACGACAACTCGCTCGAGAATATAGGCAACCCGGACTCGTTTGTCTGGTACGGTCCCGCGTGGGCCAGTGCAGCTATGGCTCCTTCGCGCGGATTCAAAACCTGGATTACGGAGGGTGGCATCCGGTGTCCGTGTGTGGTGCGGTTTCCACCGCTGGGACTAACTGATGGGCAGACCGATTCGTTTGCAACGGTCATGGATATTTTCCCGACGGTTTTGGAGCTAGCGGGAGTGTCTCTTCCCGGAGAGCAGTTTAGAGGGAGAGAGGTTGTTCCCGTGCGTGGTTCGTCGTGGGTGCCGCATCTTGCGGGCCGGACGGCGGAGTTTCATGAGGACGAGGGGGGTTATATTACGGGATGGGAGCTGTTTGGGAGACGGGCTATTCGGCAGGGTCCCTGGAAGGCTCTGTATATGACTGCGCCGCGGGGGAAAGATCGGTGGGAGTTGTATAACTTGGATGAGGATCCTGGGGAGGTGGTTGACCGGGCGGACTCGGAGCCGGAGATTTTGCAGAGGTTGATTGAGCATTGGGAGGTGTACTATGCTGAGACAGGGATGATTGATCCGGCGCAGGAGTTTCCGTATACGAAGATTTGATGTGCCGATCCTTTGGTGGTGAGGAAGGTTTACGGGAACTGGTGATGTAGGGCTGGGTCTAGAATATAGTATAGAGTATTAGAAGTCTAGATCTCCCCAAAAGGTATGGTCATCTTAATTACTCTTCTTTTACCAAGTCTATATATGTAGACACTCACCTTAACGAACATTAGAATATACCTTTACCTACAACAATAAGCAATATCAAAAGCCCATAACCATAACCTAACGAACCCGACCATCACCAACAACCCTAGAATCACACCAGACAACCAACAATACCTGGCAGATCGACAGCAATCTACCAAGGTACACCAACGACTGAAACCATATCCGATTCTAACTCCACCCAAAAATAGTTAAAATACCACCTCAAATGCCAAAAAATATGTAAAATAAACTTTCCCCAAACACCAGAACCCCACTGTTTGCCGATCGCCGTCGCAGAAGTACAGAATATATCCCGATTCGGGTCTGATAAGGCCAGCGTGAAACGATGGGGGCCTTGGCGGTTTTCGGGGACTTTTGTTTTCTTTTTCTGTGGGTAAAACGGGCGGGAGAGAGCTTGAGTTCTTCTTCCAGGGAGTTTTTCTTGGCTACGATCGGGGGGTTTGTTTCAGAGCTATCTATATATGGAATGGGGGGATTGTGGTGGTTCTTGGGTGGAGTTTGGGGGTTTCGAGGGTTCAATTTGTAGGGGTTTTTGAGTTTGGGGAAGGGTTTGTTTTCTCTCTTGCTGTCTTATTTGGTTATAAGTTACTATGATTTATGGGGCTTTGAGGTATGGTTTTTTTTTTTTTTTTTTTTGGGTGGGAGTTTAGCTTGATTTTGTAGGGTCGTGATTGTTTATACTCTGCTCAGGTGACTCAGATACCCTCAGATAAGTACTAACTCAGACTATAATGTTAACAATCACTATTATGAACTAAACTCCAGAGCAGATTCCCAATGCCGTGCTATCCGAGTGAAGTTTCAAGTTTGACTTTTGACACATCTTGTCTGGCGCACTGAAGAGGTTACATCCTCTTAGTCATAACGACCGCAGAGTCCACCACGATAGTCAGAAGAGTACTTAGGGCAGTTAGAGAGTTCTGCTAATTATAGTAAACAACATTTATGGGCCTCACTGTGACGGTTCACCAAGACCACATGATCTACCCCGGTTTAGCCTCGCTCGAGGGGAAGAACCACCGCCTGGTCTGGGCTCTTGACTTAGGGACTAGGGAGGCCAAGAGTTTCGGACGGGTTATAGGTTCGAGTTTACCGTTGAGCACACGGCACTCTAGGGATCCACTTGGACGATGATTTTCGACTAGAGGATGAAGTGGTTCGCTAGGGTTTGTGTTGTTATACAGGATTTGATAGAGGGATTTGAGTGTTGGTTGTAAGAATCAGAAGGAAAGGGGAGATGAGGTTCACTCATCCTCGATGGGTACATGAATTCAGCCCAGCTGTCAAAGATGCACATGCACAGACATGTGCTTCTGGAAGAAGCACATAGCTTAGCTTCATTGCTCGTCACCGGCCAATTGAGTTTACTAAAGGTTTGAGGCTAAAGAGATTGTCTCGGCTTGAAACTTGGATCTACATCTTAACCATCACGTTTATCCCGAATAGAGCTGTTACAATGCAACCCTCCCAAACAAATGCCATTGTCAAAGTCAATCGAATGCAGAAAAGGGGTGAGATCAAAGGTATATAAACCCTCGCAAGCCTCCAGAAGCAATTCCTCATCCAAGCAAGCTTCGACAGCATCTCTCTCTTCTTTTCATTCGCTTTCTATACAAAAATCTATCTTACGATCTTTATTATCTTTCCCTTTTTCTTTTCAATATGCGTTTCGCTTATTCGACTGTCGCCTTGACGGCAACAGCCCTTGCAGTCCCGGTGACTGTTCCTTCTACTTATCACCGTACTTCGACGGTTCCAGGGAAGGTCCTTGAAGCTTCCGACCCGTCTAATGCTGGTCAATTGACGGCTCGGACCTTTGGCCCACTCATCAATTGGATCGGACAGCTTAAGGGAGGGGATTCCTGTGAGGAATGTGCAACTGGTGAAAGAACCGGCTCCGACACCATGGGTGTCAGCATTGGCAGCAGTGCCGAGGATTGTGATGAGAACTCCAACAGCAACGAGAACTCGAACAGCAACTCCAACTCCAACTCCAATAGCAACTCAAACTCCAACAGCAACTCAAACTCGAACAGTAACGAGAACTCGAACAGTAATACCTCTGGCAGCAGCACTGACAGCGGTAGCATGCCCCCTGGTGGTATGCCTCCTACTGGCGGTATGCCTCCTTCCGGTGGCACTCCTCCCACTGAAGGTATGCCTCCTTCTGGCGGTACTCCTCCTACTGAAGGTATGCCTCCTTCTGGCGGTACTCCTCCCACTGAAGGTATGCCTCCCTCGGGAAGCACCCCTCCTACCAGCGGCACTCCCCCTACTGGTGACGTCCCGACTGGCGACACTCCCAGCGGCACCCCTCCCACCTCCGGCACTGAAACTGGCGAAGAAACTGGCGAAGAAACTGGAACCGAGACCGGCGGATCTCCTCCATCTGGTAGCACTCCCCCTACCAGCGGCACTCCACCTTCTGGTGGTACCCCTCCCACCGGCAGCACTCCTAGCGGTACTCCCCCTACTGGCGATGTCCCGACTGGAAGCACCCCCAGCGGTACCCCTCCTACCTCCGGCACTGAAACTGGCGAGGAGACTGGCACTGAGACTGGCGGATCTCCTCCATCTGGCAGCACTCCCCCTACCGGCGATGTCCCCACTGGCGACACTCCCAGCGGCACCCCTCCCACCTCCGGCACTGAAACTGGCGAAGAGACTGGAACCGAGACTGGCGGATCTCCTCCATCTGGCAGCACTCCCCCTACCAGCGGCACTCCTCCTTCTGGTGGCTCCCCTCCTACTAGCGGCACTCCCCCTACCGGTGAAATCCCTACTGGCAGCGGTACTCCCCCCAGCTCTGGCACTGAAACCGGCATCACCACTGGCGAAGAAACTGGCACTTCTACTGGCGGTTCCCCTCCCACTGGTGGCATGCCTCCATCCGGCGGCACTCCCCCCAGCTCCGGTACCGAGACCTGCGAAACCTGCCAGGGCGGTAACAACTCCGGTAACTCGTCCGGAAACTCCTCCTCTTCTTCCTCTTCCTCCTCGTCTAGCAGCAGCAGCAGCAGCAGCAGCAGCTCCAGCAGCTCTTCTAGCAGTTCATCCAGCAGCTCATCCAGCAGCAGCTCCAGCTCCTCCAGTGGTTCCAGTGGCAACCACGCCTCAGCCAACGCATCCGGCCCCAACGACTGCGCCGAGTGCGAAGTCTCCGTATCTGTCTCTCCTGAGGACTGTGAGGAGTAAAGGAGTGCACAAGATGAGGAATTGCCAGTCACTTAATCGGCCCATCTAGCCATGTGGTTTCGGGTGCTTTTCTCCAGCTATCAGTTTTAATAACTTCTGTCGATGCTGGTTTGCACCGGCTTCAGCGCTCGTCTGCTTGGCTCTATTTCCTTGTTAGACTACGGCCTCATCCTTCCTATCTGTCTGTCGTTACTGCGTGTGAGATAGTTGATTCGCTCCTTAGCATAATAGAATTAAATCACGTTAATGTGCGTTCGGGTTTTGAAGTTGCCAAGCCTCAATCTTATTTAGTACATTTTCAATTATCAATAATTGGGTACTCAGCTGTTTACTGGTTAGCAAATAAATCTCAAGAGGCGAATAAGTTCCTAGCGTCTTTGTTTTACCCTAAATACTCATTCAATGTAGACCCCACCATGCGATATCTTTGAATTCTGTGAGATTGTATGGGATGAGGAGAGAGGACAGGGGTTAGGGCTTTGGTTATTATTGTGAAGCTTAGCTTGTCATGGAATTTCCCGTGTCTTCCAGGGAAATACTTTCCCAAGACTTGTCACTCTTCCCGCTGACGACGAATTTGGAAAGATACCACGCGGAACAAAACAACAGTGTCAATACGTGGTCCACTCTTGTGGCTATGGTTCTCTAATTGTGAAGGAGTGTACGGTGCTTATTTTGCTTTCAATCAGCTTAGCAGCTGGTGCAAGGTGCCGGAGAGAGAGACCAGAAGTGGAAACTGTGAGATTCAAAAAAAAAAAAAGAAAAGAAAAAGAAAAAGCTGAGATCTATTATTATTAATGTGAACTATGGGACCGGGGGACTTCATTGATACACCAAGGGTCGCGAGAGAATTAGTGCCCAATATAAGTGAGTAATCAAGGAGGGTTTCACGAGACGGCAAGCTCTTGCGTTATAAAATGCTGAGTAGGATCGAAAAGCTAACTCTCAGTAATTTAGAATATGCGAGCCACACTCCATCCCACAGAGATACCTTTGGTCAGTATCAGGAACAGTGCCGAGCAAGCATACGACAGCCCGCAGAAGACAATCAATCCCCAATACGTCGTCTCCTCATGCGTCAACGGATTCTGCGCCTTGAGAATCTCTCCTGCCGCCGGAATAGCTACCAAGAGACAGAGACCCATTATTGTACTCGTCGTCCCATATCGTTTGCCATAGTTCTCCGTCCGGGAGATCTGGGCCACACACACTGGCGTCAGACTAATAGCCGGACCGGCCCAGAAGCCGAAAAAGACAGCGAAGCTTATAATAGCTGCTTTGCTCTCATTGGCCGTAAGCCATAGTGCAAGGATCAGTATAGTACAAATGGACCCAGTGATGATCATGACGTTAAACCGGCCCCAGCGATCTGCTAGAATCCCGGGGATAACTCGGCCTGGAATAGATGCGGCGCTGAAGATAGACATCAGCTCGTATGATAGGGGACCGGTTAAACCGTGCGACGAAGCATATGAAGGCAGATATGTGAGAACGACCATCAGGCCGACTTCTGCGGCGGTGACGGCGATGGAAGTCATTGTGAATGCCGGTTCTCGCAAGGAACGAAGGTCAATCATGCAGCCCTTGGAGTTATTTGAAGGCAGTCTCGTTCTGGTGAAAAACATGCTAACGATAAAGCAGCCCAGGAACACGAAACCAAGCACTCTGACTGCCCAAGGAAACCCAATTCGGTCTCGGAGCGTTCCGAAGATGTATGTGAATATGATGCCACCGATCCCACCGGCGGTACAGGAGACGCCGGTAGCCAAGCCCCGACGCTTGTAAAACCAATGATTTATGGTGCCAAACGCTGGGGGTAGAATGGCCGATGCAGAAAGACCGCCCACGATACTGAACCCGAGGATAAACTGGTAGTACGCTTCACGCCGTCAGTAGGACGGTAATGGGAACCGGAGCTGCTCCACATTACCTTGTGCGACACTAAGTATCATCATTGATGCCGTAAAACCGATACACCCCGGAAGCAGAGTATACTTAACACCGTGTGAGTCGAAGACGGGTCCTGTCGCGCATCGGTTAGTGCCATTCTACGCCTAGAACTCTAGCATATCATACCGGCTTGAATCCCACCGAGGTAGAAGAGAAAGAACCATAAACTAAAGATCCAGGAGATCGATGCCTTAGAGTAGTTCTGCAGTTGGTGGTCTGCTAGCCACTCCTCTAGGATCCCCGTGATATTCATAAGACCGAAGCTTGGAAGCAACGCACACCATGAACCCAAAACCACTGACCAAGCTCGCCATCCGCCATCAGGGAACTCTGAGGGATCTTCTTCCGTGTACTCGATAGACGTGTGTTTATCTCCCGAGCTATTGCCGCTGCTGCTCGCGACATCGTCCGTGGCAGAAGTTATTTTCTGGGGGTCGTTGTTTGTATACATGATCTGAGAGATTGTGCTGCTACCATACAGTTGTCAAACAGATGCTTTGTGACAAGATTAAGATAAAACTTAGAAGGCAGTGTGGGACTTGACGTTCATAATAGAGGCTGGAATGATTACATTAGGGTCTATTTTTCGTCGATCATTGAATTATTCCTCTCTAATCCAATGGTGATACACATCCCTTGCATCCGATGGAGCCGAGATACGTATACTGGTCTAAGAAACTTGAATGTAATGCTGGAGTTCTGTCTTCAAATCACCAATGTGCGGCCCCTTTGAGACAAATGTTTGGTAGCTTGTGTAAGCGTATGTAGTGCTATATGATAGCTAGCTCTGCGCGTTCGGGATAGAGATAGGTGCTTCATAGTGCATAACTAGCGCCTATCTGGTTTCACATTTTTAAGTGCTGCGTTCAACAGAATAGCAGCGGTCATACCTTTTCCGCCGTCATTTGTAGTAAATTGCAGTCAACAATTTGAAGGTAAGAACCCAGCGAGTGTTGTTCCTACCTCCCATGTATTGAATCATTTGGTTGTTCATAGTGAACGCTAGTATAATACATCATGAAGCCAAAGATGGGATTTCTGAAGCTGACCAGATGTTTTGTGAAGATTCTCAACATCGCCGTCGAAACATAAAAGTTCTTTGAGATATAACCTTATTTACCTTATTTGGAGGTAAAAGGCGCCACCAGGAAATGCGACCATACAGATCTCGGGAAGGAGAAATAAGCATTTGGTCTGGAACATCCCTTGTGGTTATTTTCATCCGCTGCAGGAATCCTTACAAGTCACATGTTTTGTCATTCTCATTGGGATGAAACAAAACAAAGCAAACAAAGAAAAAGGAGTAAATAAAGAAAGTGGAATCCCTGTCAATAAGCAACCTCGTATTATCTCATGATTCTCCCTTCATATCACATGCACACTTTCGAGATTAATTCTATCATGCTTTGAATGTGAGTTAGCAATTTGGTGCGACCGACTCTTGATTGTATTGGGGCCTCTGAAAAAGCGATTTACCGGAATTGTAATCATCTGTTTCCCTAAAGACTAGATATCAACAACACTAAAGTCATAAAAGAGGAAGTCGTCAGTATTTTCGCCCAGGGCATCTATCTCTTTTACTCCGTCAGCCACTTTATGAATCTTTGTATGCATACAGCCACTGCATACTTACGCTCAACGTAAAGGTGGAATAACCCTTCTACTTTTGAGACACAATGTATAAAAATACTAATGTGTCTTTGAAGAAGCCATGGATCGAATATCGTCCAAGTGAGACTGTCGGCGAGCTTCGGATATACCTCGGCCAATTCACCTTACCTTGACTGCTGCTAGATAGATAATACTACTGTCCATAAGTGTCCTAAATGCAATTATGGCTCACCGCCAGAAGGAAAAGAAGAAAACTTCGGAAAAAGGATTGGAAAGATCCAGTGGAATTGAATCGTGAGTGGAACGTATATTTCAACCGATCATGGCGGACAAAAAAAAAAGTTAGGACGAATGCTCTCCTCATTGGCGAGAATGAAAGATAAAAGAACGGAACGCTAACAACCTCGTTGAACACAGCCCACGTTACGTAGTGAGATCTTGGCGGGTGGAGATGTCCTGAGGCCACCGACCATTTAGCGTCAAAGGGTCCAATCACAATGGGGCGAAAAAAAGGGTCAGGGTGGGAGACATTTTTACGTCACTGGCGGCTCTTGCCATGACCTCTTTTAGTCAAGTCATTCTACTGTTTACCTCCTTAACTAGTTCTCGGCGATTATCTACATATAGGTTATTTCTATTTCTGTCGTGCCATGCTCAGTCATGTATGCTGTACTGACTAAGACGAGATCATGACAATTCTGACATAAATCCAGTAAAAACAAGTTGTGTACGTAGTAGTAGTACCCCCTGAAATCGTCACCCCACGCCACATTGACGCCCGTCATACATGTCACAGTCAGGTACGGGAGCACTGATGGCGCTTGTCTCGCTATATAACTGGCTGCCAGCTGGCGCTCCCGTAGGAGTTCGCAGGGTTGCAGTATCCGGTCCCGTACTTGAACCGTTGTGGTTTAGTGTCAGGCGACCCCTGACAAGGCTGAGTCGCTAGCCTCAGGCTTCTTTGTGGGTGATTCATCTATTGTTAGACCTTGTTTCGGGGCAGTTTTTGGTTTCTTGCACTATCAGTTCCTTGTTTTTTTTTGATGATATGCCAAACTCAGTAACGAATGCGACAAGAAACAGGAAGAAAGAAGACTTCCAGCCCAGTTCAGGGACTCCCACCGGACGATAATGTTAAAAAAGCCACAGACCCCACAAAGCTTGTCCATCATTGACCAAAAGGGAAAGATTAACAGCCCCCGCCGTGTAAGTTTCAGAGCATCGCCGCGTCATTGCCTTTCGCACCGTCAATCTAGGCCCCTGATTCTTATGCTTTATTCGTCTATTCTTCCCGCTTCCCCCCTTGGCTCAATTTTGTTCTCTCTTTCTCTCTCTCTCTCTCTCTTTCTTTCTTCCCTTTCCTTCTTTCTCTATCCTACAATGTTATCGATCTATTTACGCGTCATTCCGTCTTCGCCGGCGCGATGACCTTACCTAGTTGTTCAAGATGGCGCCTGCGACCAGGTAGCCTCCTCTACCTGTTCTATCTCGTGGGATTCATGAGCTTCACCTGTATCGTCGCTATCTGGTATGGCGTCAACTCCGACCGAGACTATATTCACCCGCTCTTGACCCAACTCATCCCCGCCGGGCACTGTGCGTGCCAAACTTCGACCACTTTCCAATGTTCCACCTGCCTGTCATGCTCCGAGCATAGTCTTGTCCCGCAACTTACCTCCGCCCCAAAATGGGAATTCAACTCGGAACGGGATGCAAACAATGAGGGCCTCAGTACACCTCAGTGCAAGGCCGCATTCCCGGGACTCTACGAGGATGTCTTCCGCGCCGAGAGCTTTTGGCGGTCCCAAGGCGCTCTTGCAACCGAAGACCTGGATCGCATCCCCCTAGGATTCGGTATGGCTCGAGCATTTATTTCTCGCGGCGAGCTGTATGTGGTTGCGGCGCGGGCAAAACAAGAGGACCACCGACGAAAAATTGTGGCGGCATTGAGCTCCATCCATCGCGCGCTGGTCGCGGATGCCGACCGAGCTGCTCGTCGCGACATCGAGTTTGTTCTTTCGGTGGAGGATAAGGTCGAAGATGTCACAAGCTCCGATAATCCGGTCTGGGTTCTTGCACGGTCTGCGGCCGAGCAAGGTGTCTGGCTGATGCCCGACTTTGGGTTCTGGGCGTGGGATAACCCGCTGAATTCGATTGGGCCCTTTGATCAAGTCGTCGAACGTGTTAAGAGAGCCGATATTCCATGGTCGCAGAAAACCCCACAGTTGGTTTGGCGCGGCAAACCTAGTTTTGCGCCCAAGCTGCGCCGCGCGTTGATGGATGCCGCCCGGGATAAGCCGTGGGGCGACGTCAAGCAAGTGGACTGGTTTGAGCGGACGAACATCATGTCGATGGAAGATCACTGCCGATATATGTTTATCGCGCATGTCGAAGGTAAGTTTTTCTTTCGCTTGTTGTAGGTGCCAGAGTACTAATCAGATCCTCGCATAGGCCGATCGTACTCCGCTTCACTGAAGTACCGCCAGGCCTGCAACTCAGTAATCGTGGCGCATAAACTGCAGTATATCCAGCACCATCACTATCTCCTCGTACCAGACGGCCCGAATCAAAACTATATCGAGGTCGAGCGAGACTTCAGCGATCTTCCGAGCAAGATTGAGCCCCTCCTCGACGACCCGAGTATGGCACAGCGGATTGCCAACAATAGCGTGCACACCTTCCGGGAGCGCTATTTGACGAAGGCCGCCGAAGCATGCTACTGGCGTCAGCTATTCGAGGGATACGGACACGTCTGGAACAGCAGTGTCCCCGTGTGGTCGGACGTGTATCAGCGGGAACGGGGTCTCCGATACGAGTCGTTCATCTTGATGGATAGTCAGATGATGTTTGACTTTCACGCGACGGGTGACATGCCATGACGATTTTGCAAGTGATATTCGAGCGATCTACATATTCACGGAGTTTGGAGTCTGTGGGATATGATAAACTTTCTGCGGCTATTTAGCCTTTGAGATACCAATCAAGCGTGGTTTTGTGATTCAAGATGCTTCATAGACAGATACGGTTTTAGGCCGTCTGCCATATATACTCAATGATACCAGACATATAGCCTCTTCTGAATACCGCCAGTACTAGTGACTATATGAATAAATATCCCCAAGTACTGTAATGATGCTTCACCAATTCATATACCAATCGCACCCTGAACTCAGACCAATATCAACCCAACTTAAATCCATACAAAAACTCCCATGCCCAATAAAGACAATATAACAACCCAAATCAAAGAACCCCAAGAACAAACCCCTCCAAAACCCCCGGACTGCCCCCCACCAAATCCCTCACCTTCCTCCCGTCCCGAAAAGCCATAAACGTTGGCATAGCCACAATCCCCAACGTGGCGATCTCCTCATCCGACAATTTCCGCACGTCCATCCGGTAAAACGCTATATGTGGGGTTGTGTGGGAGATCTGCTCGAAGGCCGAGAACATCGGGCGACAGGGGCCGGTCCAGCCGGCTGTGAAATCGATTATTGTGGGTGTTGGGGATTGGATTGTTTGTTGGAGGGTTGTATAGCTTTTTATTTGGAACTTTTTGTTAGTGAGGGTGGGTATGGATGGAGGTTATGCGGTTTGGGAAGGCATAGTTTAATTAGGAATGGGGACGAACGAGGTGATTTCTTTGACGACCATTTTTTTCTTTCCTCCTTTCCTCCTTTCTTCTTTCTTGTTATAGGATGTGTAAGAGTGTAGGAGTGTAGGAGTTGTAAGGTTGCGGATGGAAGGGTTGGTTAGTGATTGTACAATGTTGCTAACAGAATCGACAGCCTTCAGGGATTAATTAATAGGAAGAGATAGAGCTATCAAAATCTTTTATTCCAGATACAATCATTTATTCAAGCACCCATGAACCCAAAAGTGAAGGTAGAGTAAGAAGAATGTCTATGACGTGGTTGAAATGTGAATAGACTTTTGTCTGATGCTACAGGGCTGACATTTAAGTTTCTGCATAATTGGATAACCCGGGGGGTCTGGATAGGCTTTTGGTTCCGCTGTGGGGGTGTTTTATGGTTTTGGGGGAAGTGATTGTGTGATGGTGATATGTTTGGGTAGGTTAGGTTGGTGTTTGGTGAAGGTTTGAATACTTGGTGGAGGTATTGGTTGGATTGAGGAAGGGTAAGTTGCTTGTATGATACTGTGTTATTTTTGTATTTCTTAGCTTGTTGTATTGTATTGTTTGAAGGGGATGTCATGAACTTGGGGGTTTGAGATAAAATCCTTAGTTGGATGTTTGTATTGGACTATGTTGTCTACTGGTATTGTGTCACGTTGTGCTTTACATGTTAATGACTAGGGCTTCTTAGATTGGATTAGATGGCAATATCAGAACCGAAACTAAGACAGATAGACCCTTATTTGTATACATCCATATTCCAATGGGAAAAGAACTTAATACAATTGACAACTCTTATATCAAATGTCGACTTGCGGTGTTTCTTGCTTCCTTCCATAACTCTATTGCTAAAAGCAAGGCAGGCATGTAACTCGCATATTCTCCGAAGGTTTTTGAATCTCATGCTACTCTTTATGTCGGGCTTTAGTTTGCAGTGGAGGCTACGATGGCTCTGTCTCCTAGAGGCGGCTCTATACACGCCCTCTCGGGCATTGAGATACGGCGAAGATGGTGTTCTCTTTGCTTCTTCTCTTGTTACGCTGTATTGAGAACTGTTACGAGAAACTCTAGCCCTGAAGGGCTTGGGCAGGTAGTGCAAGTTGGGTAGACTTCCATGGAGTAACACAGATCCCAGGTGCAGTCTGTCAAGATCACATATAAAGTCCCCGATACTACACGATCATTATTGATGCCTGATATCTACCATCTGTTCTAAGATAACCATCATTCTGCTATCACCACACCTCTCATACTGGAAGATGGTGCCCACATTATTCCAAGCGATCTGTTCCACAGGCATCGCTCTTGCAATCTACACAGCAAGCCTAGCCGTCTACCGTCTCCTCCTGTCCCCGCTCGCTAAATTCCCCGGCCCAACGCTCGCCGCCCTAACCGGTTGGTACGAAGTCTTCTTTGACGTCCTCCTCGGTGGCCAGTTTATGTGGGAAATCGAGCGTCTCCACGGAAAATTTGGTCCCATTGTGCGCATCAATCCCCATGAACTCCATATCAAAGACCCGGACTACTACAATACTCTCTATGCAGGCCCCACAAAGCGACGAGACAAGTACCTCTGGTTTCTGTCTGTCGGAGCTCCGGCCTCGACCTTCGCCACGGCGAAATATGATCATCACCGCTTGCGAAGGAGGATGCTTAGTCCCTTTCTCTCCAAGCAAGCTGTCAGGGATCTGGAAGGGGTTATTAAGGGGAAGTTAGATTTGCTTTGTGGGCATATGAACAAGGCTATGAGAAGTGGTGAGGCATTGGAATTGCATGCTTCTTTTGTGTCATTTGCTGTGGATGTCGTTTCGACCTGTGCATTTGGGGAGACCGGGTGCCTCGAAGTGTTGAGGAGGGAAAGACTAGATGACCGATGGAAGCAGGCCGTAAATGACGCCTTTGCTAAGTTGATTCTGACTAGGCATTTCCCTTGGCTAGTGGTTGTTTTTCGTTTCCTGCCCTTGTGGCTCACTGCTCTAATCACCCCTGTGGTGCGGTATATAGATTATATGGAACAGGTGAGTATCTTGCGAGCATCTGATCGAGCTGTTGGTGTGGATCTGTGTGTTACTAATATGGGCTTCAGGAGGTTGAGCACCAAATGCAATACGTGTATGCGAAGAACCAGGACGGTATCAAGGAGAATGGCATCTTCTCGCATCTTATGCACAATCAGAAACTACCTCTGAAGGAGAGGGCGCTGGATAGATTGACTGATGATGCCAAATTTCTGATGTTTGCCGGGACCGACGCTCCGTCTCAGGTTTTGGCCATCACAATGTTCCATGTTATTCGCTCTCCGCTGGTCTGTCGAAGTCTACGCGAGGAGCTGCAGGATAGGACTGCACATTCACAAGATGAGCTTTGTTTGAACATGCTTGAAAAGCTTCCATATCTGGTGAGCAAAGAAGCGCCTCCTTTCTATGACTCCACAGCTCACTTCAGATAAGACTGCAGTTATTAAAGAGGGGCTTCGTGTCTCGGCCGTTGTCACGTCACGTCTCCCACGGATTGTACCTAATGAAACGCTGGAGTTTAGGAGCTGGAAGATTCCCCCAGGGGTATGAAGTCTCTCGTATCAATCTAGCGTCTGTTCTGCTGGCTGATGAGGCTCTGTATGAGCGACAGACTCCAGTGAGCATGTCCAGCCACTTTATTCTGCGAGATCCCGCTATATTCCCTGATCCACTGGTCTTTCAGCCTGAGCGATGGCTAAAGCAAAGTACTATCGGCTTGAGCCTGGACAGATATCTTGTGCCCTTCTCAAAGGGAAGCCAAGGATGTTTAGGGACAAAGTATACTCTTTCTTAGATATCGACAACACTCGCTAATTCAGACATTAGTATGGCTTATGCTTGGCTGTACCTAGCCTTAGCTACACTGCTGCAGAGATTCGAGTTCTCGCTGTTTGAAACTACTGAAGAGAATGTTCGGACGGTTAGGGACTGTTTCAATGGACAGACAAAACCTGGACAAAACAATATACGGGTGAAAGTGTTGACGGAGTTTACGTAACCTAAGGTTTTGATATATCTGTGTGTCATTGGCAGCTATGATAGTGAACTTGGGAAGAAGTTGATTTCGAAGATCAAATCATTCCAAAGGGCAGCGTAGCCAAGACGTGTCGCATGCCTACCGAGATGTGGTATGGTGGCTGGGAGTGGAGCAGTCGAGACGAACCACTAGGGTTAATAGAGTTTCTCTGACTCAATAACATGGGGCGCTTTGACAGCTAGGCTGGCCATCATGCAGTGGTGCTCCACAGCCCACCGAGAGAGATTACATTTATAATTGTCATGTTCGGTTTTCTTGATCGCCCACTTTTCTTGACGCTGTGGTAAAAGGTTTGTGTACTCTGTCTGACATGTAGATCTGTGTGATATCATGACTTGGACTCAGCTCCAAGCAGACTCACCGTAGCTGACCGTATGACCATATATACAATGTCTGCAGACTGGAACCTTATTTCTGCCTCCAAGTCATAGTAATCCTATTGTCGCTGAGCGAGTCGTGATATCGCCGGCTTGACCAGTGATACTGTACCAATGGTTAATTAGTGATACCGCAAACGAAGGAACGAGGGCTGGAAAGAAAGGCGCAAGAAATTGGTCTGTGTGAGGCGCTAATGAGAAGCCAGTGGGGATTGAGTGGTGCAGAGAAAAAAGTTAGCTGGTGATTGACATTCAAAAGAGTCAAAACACCTGACCTCACTTGACTTGCCTTTTGGTAAATCGGGTATGGTTTTCTTTTCCCCTTTGGGGGATTGACATGTACATCAATACCTTTGTTCCTCCATTCCTCCCTCAGAGAAAACAACTCACTGAATGCCCTCACCCGTAAACAACTAATTTATTTTAATCATACTGCCGATCGGGATCCAAAAAGCTGGAAAGGCGGCAGATTATTGACTTCGGCTATTCAGAGTTGGTCTCCTCTTCATGACGGTCCGGGGCCGCAGTGGATCAGCGTTCCACCAAATCAGAACAGATTCTATCTCGTGTCGCGGAACCAAATCAAAACAAACATCCACACCGACCGCCCCTTGGCTCGTCAACTGGGGCTTGCGCTGACAATCGTTCCACTCTGAGTGGGCGCGCAATCTCCATTGGGCCCCCAGCTCAAAGCAAGGAAGCTCCCACTCTCCAGACGAACCATGATCTGTGCGACGATCGATCCTGCTTTAGGACCACTAAGAGACGGCCAGTGGACTAATGGCCCAAGCCAGCCCGCCAAATCACAAACTATTGTTCTGAGATCGTCGCACAAATCGGCGAGATTCAGCTGAGCCGTGATCTGCAGCCACACAAGAATCTTCACAAATCATGGCCGGCGCCAGTGGTTGCACGGGCAAGAACGGGGGATGAATGTGCAGGATGGGGCAAGAGAGGACCTGGCGGAGAGGGAATTTAAATTGCCTACCCTCCGGCAACTGAACCTCCTCCCTTCTGCTGAAATTTTTATAGTTTTCCTAACCTAGCGAACATCATGCCGTCACCGATTCCGAAGCCGAAGGGTGTTCCCATCCTGGGTAACCTCTTCGATCTCGATGGCAACAACCCCTGGGGCTCCTTCAACAAGCTAGCCAAGGATTATCGTGAGTCCCATCGAGCCTTTTGCGAGAGAGGCTAGAGCACAGTTAACACCGCGTGCCTGTACCTAGGACCCATCTTCAAAATCTCTCTTCCCGGTAAGGATATCGTCTTTATTACCGGTGCCCACCTACTAGAGGAGGTTTGCGACGAAACGCGCTTCCGCAAATGCGTAACCGGCCCCATACTGGAAATCCGCGATGCGGTCAATGACAGTTTGTTCACGGCAAAGCACGAGGTCAAGGAAATGGAATCGTGGGGTATTGCACACCGCATAATGGCGCCCTTAGTCTCGTGGGATGCCGTTGAGCAGGTATTCTCCGGCATCCAGGAGACAACTGATGACCTGATCAAGAAATGGACGGCGGGAACCCGGCAGCGTGTCAATTTGACGAACGACCTGGATCGATGCAACCATGCCGCCAACATGCTTTGCTTCTTCGACCAGCGGGTACACATTATGGAGGGTCCTGAACCTGCGGTCATCAAAGCTATGGACGGTGCTACCAATGAGGCAATGCGCCGACCTGTCCGTCTCAGGATAGTCAACTGGCTGTTCCACAACCGCAAATGGAACGCATGGATCAAGACTATGCGTGACTACGGAGCCGAGATCGTTGCTACTCGCAGAGCAAACCCAACTGACAAAAAGGACATGCTCTATGCATTGCTAGAAGGCAAAGACCCCGAGACCGGTAAGGGTTTGACCGAGAGCCAGGTGCTGGATGAGATCATAAATATCTTCATTGGCAGTGCCACGGCACCCAACCTAATTGCTTTCGCAATGTACTATTTGGCGAAGAACCCAGACGCGGTTGCCAAGGCTCGCGAGGAGCTGGACGCTGTGGTCGGTGGTCCTTCTGTCAGGATTGAACATGAACATCTTGCTCGTCTACCATACACTGAAGGTGTCTTGCGGGAATCCTTCCGACTCTCCGGCGTTGCCCCCGGCTTCAATATCGAACCTCTCCCTGAGACCGAGGGCCCCGTCCTGCTCGCCGGTGGTGAATACGAAATTCCTGTAAAGCAGCCGTTGATTGCCATTTTGGCGGCCGTCAATCGTGATCCGGCTATCTTCGAAGACCCTGAAGCGTTCAAACCCGAGCGTATGGTCGGTGAGAATTTCGACCGACTCCCGAAGGGTGTGAAGAGGGGCTTCGGAAACGGTAAGCGCGAGTGCATTGGCAAGCGGTATGCCTGGCAATGGTCCTTCATGGTGCTGGCGAGCATCCTCAAGGATGTCGATTTTGAACTGGCGGACCCGAACTATGCGGTGGGCAATGACGGTGTGAACTGCAACGGAGCATTCAGTGTGCGACCGCAGGAGATGTTTGTGGTAACTGGACCCAGGGCTCGCGCTGCCTAGTTGTTGATGTCTCTGTTACTTGATTCTTGTTTCGATACCAAAGCTGTTTGTTATGCCAATAATGTCTACTAAGGATGAACGAGTTGTGCTTAGCAACGATATGTGTCTAGCGATTACTTTGCGACTGCTTGAGTTACCACAATTTTTATAGCATGTAAGCAATAATATTGATTGGAAAGCTTAAATATAAAGCTCAGAGAACCCTCTGATAGAAAAGCCACGTCCACCACTGGTTCTCAAAAGTAACCCGGGATTCCTTGACATTTGCAGTAACTTGGAAAACAACATTTCCTTCCATTGACAAGCTCTTCCTTTCATATCTAAGCAAATACGGCCAACTAACAAGATAGCTATTGCTGTCGCCAAGACACATACCGAGTCAGATACTTTTAAGGTCCAATTATTCTCATGTGTTCAAAACCTATATCATATCGGGTATAGAAAAAATAAAAAAAAAAAAAAAATCGAGACTGCGGCTTTAAGATCCGTAATTAACTATGAATCCTGGAGATACGACCACACGACCATGTAGGTCTTCGTCAATATAGCGATAGAATTCCCTGCTATATTCGTCTTCGAGTGGTATGATATCACGGTTCATAGCCCATTCAGGCTCTGAGAGTTGGCAGGGATTGAAACCTCCTCACAACCTCCTTGGCAAGCTCTCATGCAAATAAGTTTGGTAGTGAACAATATCAGTGGGATTTTAGGCCACTTCCGGGGATCCCTTTTGAGTTGGAAGCCATGTAGGAGATCAAAAGCGAGAAAGACTGGATATAGATCGTTGGCAAGGGAATGTGTGAATATAGATGATTATAAACAATGTTAGGTGAAGATTTCAGAGCTGCTGGATTGTTGTAGATGTGAATCTTAGCCGATCCTGCCATTTTTTGAATAGTGAGTAATTCTATAGCTTTATCTTAAGACTAGTCGATTATTGATTAAGACTCTCTTCAAGCTTAACAGTAGCTAGATACAAAAATTTAATTTATCTAGCTATAATGGACTAGGTAGGTGTATGTATGACCTCTGTAAACTAACTTACCCTAGCCATTTGCCTACTCTACCCAGACATCACAGAAAGCTCGTCCGTAGTAAACTCTCAATGAATGACCAGATCTGCGCCGAATCATGCGCATTAAACGTGGCAGACATATAGTACGTCTTGCGGTGACCCTGCAAGTCATTAAGATGTCTGTAGAATCCATTGCGAATGGCATCCGGCGGGACAGTCAATAGGAACGGGCTATGATCAGAATATTGAACGAACTCCAGCGGTTCAACCGGGATGCCGGCATTCCTTAATTGCATGACACTGCGAGTCATATTACCCTTAACCTCTGCTTCCGCCATGTGGTCTTTGCTTCCGTAGAGGATAGCAAACAGCCCCGGTGCCCTCGTAGTATTTATCACGTAGACCGCAGGCTGAGGCGGCAGTTGGTAAAGGGTATCGACTGCACGGTTCACAATTTGCATATCTTCTGGAAGGCCTGGGATCCTGGCGAGGGCAGTGTAGTAGCATGTGTTATTGAACTGCCCAAACAAGGCTCGCTCTGACTCGTCCAGGTCCATTCCCTTCAGCATATCCAGCTTGGGCGGAATGGCTATGATGAGTTTTCGGGCGCGAATCACTTTCGTCCCGGATGGCGTTTCCACCACCGCATAGGCAAACTCTCTCTCGTCATTACGGTATGTATAAGTGACGATGCTATTCAGTAATACGTCCTCGCTTAGCTCTTCCTGCGCAGCGCCGTACAGCTCGCTATTGTTGTGACTGGTTGGGATAAGAAAACCCCCTAATGCGCCTTGGATCACATCAAGGCTGAAATATTTCATCATGTAGAGGGTTGTCTGCTGCAATATATCTCCCGCACCTTGATTAAACATCGCAATGATATCGACCGCTCCCTCCAGGTTATACTTCTTCACAAAGTCACCGAACGGCAGCAGTAAATCCGGGGGTACGGGGTAAGGAAGGTTGAAGCCGGTGTTGAGATAAGGGTACTTGGCTAATTGGGCCGAGTATGCCGCCAGTGCCAGCAGCATGTTGCCCTCGGCTGGGCCGGCTGGGGTCCCGGTTCGAAGGTCGACACGACGCTGTGTGGAGTTCTGCTCTAGAACGGAAACCTTCTCCAGTTCAATGCCGAAGTGGTCGAAGTAGTCTCGCACCAAGGGTAGGTTCTCGTAGTATAGCACTCCATAGTCGACGGCGGTTTCTGTTGCCGGGTCGTCGTAGGTATTGACATGTCCGCCAAGGTGATCGTTTTTCTCTACCACAATAACGCTCTGGTTCATTTCTCGAAGGCGGATTGCTGCGTATGTGCCAGCGGAGCCGCCGCCTATGATACACACATCGCGTGTGATGATGTTCTGATCTTGGAATTGCGAAAGGTCGAGCTCGGGGGGAACGTCAGGGACAGAGACTGCGCCGCCTAGCCATGATAGAGCCGAGATGACTAGCGATATGGTTGTCATTAACAGCCTCATATTGACTCAAATATTGATTAAGGGCTTTTAAGACGCCTATGAGCGGGTCAGCAAAGAGGGATGGACACATATTTATCAATCGTTCATGGGGTCACACTGACGGGCCTATTCTTAGGAATTGATGGGAACAGGGGGTGAATCGGTTCTGTCGGGTCTATATTCCCATCACTTGCCGTACCTTGGTGGAGCCATTGAAGGGATGATTCTCTTGCAATGCTCACAAGTATGTGACATTCCCTGACTTCTCTTGGCAGGCGATAGGGAATTTACGGGATACAGTATAGACGAATGGCCACTCAAGATGGTCCGGCCGTTACACCTGGAGGCTTTGTGTAGCAAATGGCTCTTCAGGAAGGCTTGTAACGACATTCCATTGGACTATGGTAACTTGTGATACATAAGATCAGGTCTTTACCAAGGAAAATTTCCGAGGTCAGCTTACCACGATGCTGCACACTTGAAAACTGTCAAGACCCCAATGACTATTATACCTAGGTGATGAGACTGCTTCTAGTCATATGCTAACCCAATGAGTCTTTCAGTTGATTGAAAATTGGGTTCAATGCGATTTCTTTGCCCGAATACTAGTATAGATATAATGGCTTGATCAGTAGGGTTATCCATATATTTCTCTTCATGTACTTCGGGGTTACGAAAGTCAACACCTTCCAGTACTAGGATTAAACTAATTCAATTTAACCACGCGCGACCGGAAGTAGATTAAATTAACAATAAGAAAATGTGAATAGAGATACGAGTTTGGAAACTCTTTTTCATCATTAACGTACCTGGCCTTGTAGAACTCCTCCCGCCTGTAGTAGAAGTGACACACTCTACCCATGGTAGCACAACTGGGTAGTGAGCTAGAGTGTCACAGCAGTTCTTTGTATTAATCTATAATAGACATACTGGTGTACGTGGTTTTTCTATGGTGAAGCTACTTAGCTAAGGAGAGACACTTACATTAGATTTGAACTTCACCATTAGCACATGCAAAAGGTTATAGCTCCGTTTTGATAAGAACAAAAGTACTATGTCGGCTAAATCGGGTCGTTCATGACTCGGTTATTTGTTTTAACTAGATCATGATAGATCTGAATGGCAAGAGGTTCCGAGGAATAGCAAGGCTGGCCACTATAATACCTGAGCTTCTAGAGAGAGCAGAACAGGGTCAGGGGCTGCATCCGTACAGAAAGAGTATCTTAGCAATCATTGGTAATGGACACGATGTCATGAAGTCAGAGCTTCCCGGCTCTTGTCATTAGGATGTATCAGTGGTTAGTTTCAACGACTGCGTTAAAGTCAGGGTCATTTCATATAACCTTAGACTATTGGCAGACGGGTCAGCCTTCGAGTAATTGGTAGAAGGCCCCGCACGTGGTCATTGTTATTATAGTAACCAACATGCTGTTCCTGCGCTCCACTACTCGTAATGTGTCAGCGTTAGCTTGGCTATGGCGCCTTGACTCAGCATCGACTCCCATCAGTGGGTTATAGAGAATATGCCACAGGGATATAGGAGAGTCCGTGCGCTATCTCGTAGATCATGGTAAGGGGCAGTTGCGTTTCGATTTTGTTTCGGTTCTATAGAACTGCCGAAGCATCTAGAGTGGAAATGTGTAGATCCCTCAGCCACAGCTACAATCAACAAGCGAGGATACTAGGAATATCCAACTCCAACACGACAGTTATGAGTATGGAGCGATCATACTAAGATTCACGCTAAAGGGGGAAAGGAAACCTGTGCTAAGCTTGCTAACAGAACGCGTGGCTTTGTATTTTACTTGATAGAACGACAAAAGACGTAGTAAACTCAAGCTGAATAGGCTTGGATGCCCTCTTGTGGAAAGGACAGCCAGAAGGTACTTTCCAGGGAAACAAGCAAATGGGATAGAGTAGGAAATACCGAGGCAAAGAAAGTCCCAGTGCAGTGCTAAGCCCAGGAGAGGTATTTCCGACAACAGAGTTAAACTATTTGTCTCCACTTTCCCTATTGTTCGGCATACTGACTCGCAGTGGCCGTAGCTCCCTCCATTTTCCACCAACGCGCGCATCGCAATATGTTCAGCCACGTTTCATTATCGCAACAGTGCCCCACTGGTACAAGATTTCCCTGATCTTCGGCCTCCAGCCAAGATTCCCTGCTCAGAACTCGAGACTCCTACACCGCTTCCTGGTGGAACGGTACTTAGAAGCTCTTCCTACTGTCGCCAGAGAAGGATTATTCACTACGGAATTCGCGTCAAGCCCTGTAGAAAAGAGCCAAAGGCAAATTGATCCCGGCATACCGAGGATGCATAACTTTTGGTGATAAACTTCTAACCCAAAACTTGTCTCGCACAGGTTGCTCATAACCTGATTAGGGCTGACGGCGATTGGTCATAGACCTATTTATCCTGCTGGGCCATCTCCTTGTGAGGCTGATAATCGCCTTGGGGAGCGATGCATGAGTTTCCATTCAGACGGTAATTCTATAGGGTCGGCCCCTGTCAATTGGTTTATTCTCATTACCAAATATTCGAGGCCGCAGGTTAACGCAAACGGACTTGGCTGTACGCAAGACGACACAGGAGCACCTTGGTAACTATTTTACTGATACAGGCTGCCTGCTTCATATCTTTTGACCGCTAGAGGACTTGGATCATAGTTTGACTTCCCAAGCGTTCATGCTCCCCATGCCCAAATGCATGCAGTATGCTAATAGGTCAAGTGTCCCAGCTTGATCTCTACAAAATCTGGAGTGCAGCTCCTTTGCTTGCACGGATAACGCAGCACAAAAGTACCAAATAAGCTTTGAGGCTTTCTAACTGCCGCGAAAGCTGTCTTATGCGTCGTTCTTCAATCAACTTTGGCGTGTGATCTACATCTATCTTCAAGGGTGTGGCATCTATTGTGGGGGTGATTGGGGACCGCGTATACCAGGTTGCCACGAATTTTAACCTAAAAAAACACGATAATTCGGCCGGAGAAGAAAAATATCTGACTCGTTATCAATTCGATCTGCGACAGGGAAAGTGGGGCCCGTCAGGTGTGGAGCACTGGTATTATACAAAGAGTAAGCATTCTGAAAGCGCCAGAAAAGAAAAAGAGAGTAAAAAGAGTTGCCGCAAGTCGTTAGTATGTTGCAATATTTGACGCAATACAGCATGAACAAAAGTTCGCTTGTTCTAGAGTCTCTTCCAAGCCGCGGTGGTTTGGCATTTCCAGGTTTGTGATGCAGTCTGGGCCTCAACTATAAACCCGTTTACTATAATATCCTATAATACCAGTTATAATTGCTGAAACCGGAAGTGCCCTCCGGCTGCCATAAATTGAAAATGATTAGTTAACTGAAAAAATTAAACGCTGCTAACCATGCCATTAATCAGAATCGGAAACGATAATCTCCCCGCCTGCTTCGAGTAGCATGATTTCCTTTGCCATTTCCTCTTTCCGGGTAACATCTAGCAGCGTACTTCCAAGTAGATAGTAGCTCGCTGCAGGGCAAGGTAACTTAAGTTTAGTGGAGTCTGATCTGAGCCAGGGCCATGTTCCGACGGCGTGCAAACTTCGCACAAGTCTACAATATCAAGCCAGGAAAGTGCTGGCGCCTCAGACTGGCAAGCCTCGTATTTCTTTATTTATTTATATATTTCTTTTTTGGACATCCTACACAGTTGGTGAGGAAGCAATGGAGTCTGGTACATAACCTGATGTTTGGACACTTCTTCAGTTCTATGAGGTATATTTTTGTGTCTCAACCTATTCAGGATGGACTCACCTTCGGAGTCAGCTACAGGTATATTGACAATAATCGGGAATAATCCTTCATCTTTCACAGATGATATCATTCCTCTATCCTCGATAGGAGTTAAGGTCGTTATAGTGGATGTCTTCTTGATATTCATGACCATTGTCTTCACCTCATTACGGATTATCTCGCGACGATTAAGGGGACAAAAGCTTTTCCCTGAAGATTATCTACACATTGCATCCATGGTGCGTCGTAATCTGTCCAACATAATCAAGCACTACTTTTCTGACTATGGCCGTATCAATAGATATGTTTCCAAGGAATTGGTTTTCTTAGTATTGCAAGTGAGTCAAAGGAAGCCAAGAGGTGACTTGCCTGATCTAAATGTATTCTAGTGTTTGTGAGAGGCTTTGGGCATCACATATGGGAATTGCAAATTTTCCATATAGCACCATTGCTTAAGGTTTGTGTTCCTCCATCAGGTGCACCGATTGCACGCATGCATCAACTGGCTCGTCCACCTGCTCATATTGTTGTTCTTCATTTGCTTCAGATGTATTACGCTCTGATGATCCTTTACGCCATATCTCTTGGGTTGGTAAAGATTAGCATCTGTTGGTCTCTCGCGCGCATATTTTCCACCCCGCTTCTGGTTTTCGGTGCGCGCATCTTGATGGTGGTGTCTGCCTTATGGGCAATAACGACGATTTTCATATCTATAATCTTCTGCCACACAATCGGTCTAGATTGGTCAATGTTCTCGACAGACGAGCACTGCTTGAACCTCACAGTCGCCTATGGTATTCTGGCCGCGGTCGACGTCCTCGTTGACTTATTCATCCTGGTTCTTCCATTTCCGACGCTCTGGAGTCTGCAGATGCCGAAATCAACCAGGGTGGCCTTGACCTTTGTGTTCAGCACGGGAATACTGTAAGCTATCTCTGTTAGGAGTCTCAGTCCACTCCTCATTTTCTATCTTTTTGTTCTCTTTTTTTTTTTTTTTTTCTCTTCTGACAATTTACCTTCGGCATGAATAGAACGATGTCATTCGGTATTCTACGCCCTCTTGTGATAGTAAACTTACAGCAGGCAGATGTCCTCTATAGTGGAATAATGGGCCATGTATGGACTGTTGTCGAGAACGGTGTTGCTATTATTGTCAGCAGCAGTCCTTTTCTCCGTCCAGTATTCGAGCGGGTTGCGCATGCATTCGATTCATTTACCAATATCACAAGAGCCACAACCTCTGGAAAACATAGCACGCGACATACGGAAGATGAAAGACACTTAGTTGCAGTACCACCCGCAGCCTTTCATGGCCAAGGGTATCATGATGCTGAAAGCATAGAGCTCTCAGACTCACATAATCGGAGGCAGACCATGTGGCCTTCAAGTTCAAGTTTGGGAGTCTAGCCTTGATTGATTGTTTCTAATTTTCTTTATTATCGTGTATGAATTATCGTGTATAAATTCTCGCCGTCATTTTCTCTGTTTGCCTTGCTTGCCGCGTTTGGGAGCATTCATGTCTGATCCCCTAAGTCGGACAAGGTTCACAGTTCTTGTTAGACATTGTCTTTCACTTTTTAGTTTCCTTCCTGTTTCATTTATGTTATACGGAGATATCCCATCTGATGGAGTGGAATGGCCTAGCACGAGACTTCTTCATTTATGCAGGCATGTTTTCGCTATCTTCTCGCCCCCTTCAATATCTATCCCACATTCTTAGATCTTGCAATGCGACAACTACTATTAAAAATGCAGGATGATACCTCGGCTCCCTGGTCCGCATTTACTATCTAATAATCAAAGGTTTTTCTGACTAAACAGCGGTAACATAGTGCTACATATCATTTGCGCTTCTGATGGCCTATTATCCCATAGTGGGGGTTCCAGAAGGTGTCTGCTCCACAGTTCAATACTTCATATCAGCTCAGTAATTACACGCATAGGCCTACCAAGAAGAAGAGAAAAGAAAAGGAGGAAGGATATTATCATTTCACAATACATCATCAACGACAATGCCTATTTTTGTCAGTTACGGATTTACTATCAAGAGCGTGAAGAGTCTTGAGAACCTCGTGGTGAAAGGTGTCCACCGCTCAGTCATATGACTGATAAAGACCTAAGCTGATCTATCACATTTTAAGATTATGCTATAATAAGACATTTATTACCCTAGATTGGCACATTTCAATTAAGGGGGTAATCACCAGTGGCAAAATCTCCGATAGCCGGATCTAGACGATACCGATGAGTATATCGCAAGATGTTCGAAATGCGGAGCCTTCTTTGAATACCTTGAACCTAGAGTGTATTTCTAACAACGAAGCGCGATGTCCGAGCGAAGTCTAATCTAAACACATATGATGTACTGTACACGCATATCCTCATTTATGGACAGATAAACCCGGCCAAACCCAAAACAGACTTTACACGCTCGAAACCCACACACACAAGGACCCCCAATCTACAAGCCCGAATACAATGTTCAACGCCAGCAAAAGTCCATCGCGACCAAAGCCATCACATTCAGATAGATCGACATAGCATGATTCACCGAGAACTTCCGATTTGTCTGATAGATAGTGGCCGGATCCGTGGGATTAACTTGAATATACTAGTGACCTTTCTCGGCCGGCGCTTGATTTCTGTACGACAAGGGCTGTTACCAATGAGATCATATCCGAGACGACGAAGCTTGCGCACCGCAACCGTTGAAACGGCGAGGAATGTCAGACCCATTTGAAATGACCGGATTATCTTGTAGTGTTCGCCGGACAACCGCCGCGGTCGTCGTTCGCGGGCCGAAGGTCCCCTCCCTTGACGCCGACGATCACCAACGGCACGCGTCCCGGAATTGTTTTGTGAAGGCGATAAGGCTACATGGAGGACACTTTGTGATTGTCAGGATGACTGATCTCATTTGGCACCCGAATAAATAGGCTGGGAAATGCGAGTTTGAGGTGCACATGGGGAGCGCTCGGTGGCATATCTTGGTGTTGGTGATCCTCTGGCGGAGACAGACAATGAGTCAAATATTGGCCGTATGGATGCAAGATTTTTGTTATCTGGAAGATCTCGGTGCTATGGTAGCAGGTCACTAATTGTGATGATATTTTGCATGTTGTTATATCGCTGCACAATGTCAAGATAAATAGTGATCGACTAGGGCTAAGTCTCTTGTTAGTCAGTTCTGGGGTTAATATAGACCGCTTGTTTAGCTTAAGGAAAAGTCAACGGAGAAGATGAGAGAGGTTAGATAAAGTGACCGAGTGTAAGTTTAGAGAGTAGAATATGGTCAAGTAAAATAGTAAGCAATGTGTCTGCTATAATTGAGCAGCAGCCCGGTTTAGCCCTAGAAGCAGACACTACATGACCTGTACCACGTCTAGAATAACGTGGAGTAGCCCTACCATGGTACTGGTTGCGATTCAATCTTTGACCCCCACCTCTTCATGAAACCGATTGTTCATTTACTTTGTACCCCGTACGTCGTCATTAATCAGACACGCGGTCATACTTCCAATGTGTCCGATTCTGATTGTTAGATCATTGTGATCGGTTTGATGCTGCTTCAGTCACGGGATCTTGTCTGCCCAAAAAAAGCAAAACGGAGGGCTTCAATGGTTCTTCAACAACATCAATTTTTTTTATTCATTCTTCCCGGTGACACAAGAGTTCTTCTTCGGTCCATCTAAGACAATCAGGACCTACAGATTCTTCCTCTTTCGAATACGAACCCCTGACTCTCCACCAAATGAAATCTATGCCAGCGTCTTCTACGGTAGGACTGACGACACTACGGCCAATCGCCTTAATGCACTTTCAGTTAGATACATATTTTTCAGCTTCTCCAGCCAAGCAATGATTGACTGGCCAGTTGCAAATCCAACGGGTACAACATTGAAATGCTGACGGCCGATCAGCATTTAGTTGGGCTTATCCTGCGCCATGCCAGTGATGATGCACTGTTAATGGAATAAAGCAAGTAATAAACGACATTTGAGGATATTGTATTTTCAATTCAGATACCTTCATCGTTCATCTCTGGGCCCATTTTCAGGTCACTTTCATTTTGCCTTTCTGTTCCATGTCCCAATCTTCCATAAAACAGTTCACTACGCCACTCGCCTGCGATTCCTTTAAGTGAACTAAGACCTAGTTATTCAAAACAAGAAAGGTCGCCGTCAGTGTCTTGCTCATGGCTACCTAAGGAAGTTCGCGTGTGCCCCAAACCAAGTTGACCCACATGAACAATCTGCAATACCATCGCTGGGTCCTCCTGATCTGGGGGAGGTATTACCTTGCTCTAGCATTTCAATGTTGGGTTGAGATTTGTACTGATAGTCCGGTCATGTTCCGGGCACGTCATCTACTTGACTTTTCCTGTCCGATGACGCCGGCCTCATTGTTTTCCTAAAGGGAACATCGGCGGAAGACCTGCAATGGTTTGCTGCAAACCCTGTAGGTTACGCGATACTCGAGCATAAACGCCGACACAGAATAGAGACTACAACCAAATCAAAAGTACGTATTCCATGTGTTACGGTTCACACGGCTGAAGAAAATGTCACGCTGGTGAGCCCTAGCACTGGTGGCTAGCAAATCAGCTGAGCCGTGCATGAATTATCCGCACCAATATCCCTACTCTGTCCTATCATCGCTGGTGCCATAACACCATTTGTCAGGACTTATTGGAACTAACTGATGCGCCGAGTTGGCGCCGCTCCAAGCCTCATACGTCCCGCATGGCTGCTTACTTGGGCCTCTGAGCAGCGAACCCCGCGAATCGGAACGGAACAGGGCTCAGTACCTCGTGGCCATCGGAGCCCACAGGTCAAGTATCCAGTACCATGGGTGCGAGACATTATATTCACTAGTGTCCTTCAAGTCAGGAACGCTGTAGCAATTTGAAGAAATTAATTCAGTGGATATTCAAACACCTTTTTCCAAAGATAAACTACGCTTTTTCTCCCGGGCCCTTTTCATATATACCCGGAACATTGTCTCAATCTATTACAGGCGCTCGTAAACTGAAAGGCACGTTGAGCCGACGAGCAAATCAAAAATCGTCTCTCGGACTCTTATACTTTGATATACCATAACTAGATAAGCTGAGAACACGTCAGACCTTTTTATGACAGAATACCAGGTAAGGCTGGCTATCCCTAAGTTGATCTGGTCCAGGTTGGTCCGATCTCATAGTTATTATATATAGCTCGGTCACCGCTCTTTGCCTATATATCCTCGCTATACTTCAAACCAGCACTTCATCTCCATTGCTATCGAAGCATCGTCATTCTAAGTGCTACAGTTCTCTAGGTTGGGCGGTGACGCTGCTGCTTGCGAGAGAAGTCATAGGCGGAATCACAAGTGTGGGGACTCGTACATATTTCAAGCGAGCGAAGTAGGTGATTAACAGCAAGTGCTGTCACATCAAAATGCGCGCACAGCATGCAAAGGACGATCGTGCCAGCGGCGTGGCAAACCCAAAACAGGAACAAGACCCCATCGAAAGAAGAAGGCTACAGAATAGGCTGTCCCAGAGGAATCATCGTGAGTGTATCTCTTCCGCCTTGAGTAGTAAGAATAACTCTTAACACCACCTTTTATAGGCCGCAAAATCCGAGACCGAATTGCCAAACTACAGGAGCGGGTTATCGCGAGTGAACTCAGAGCAGCGGCAAGCCTAAATGGTTGGAGTTATCACCATCCTACGGCACCGTTGGTCACCACATCATCAGCATACGATGTCGAGAGAAAGGTTCTATCGCCTGCTGTTGAGATTATGCCTGCGATGAATGGACCTTATCTACCTGGTTCGACAGGTATTTATCCTTACAATTCTCTGAGTCCGGCACCTACTCTACCACCACAGCCCTCACCAACTTTTCCTCAGTACGAGGCCTCTGTGAAAGATGCCGATTCAACAAGCTCGTCATCACCGTCTGTTCTCACGAACAGTAGTGTATGCTCCCCAGGCGCTAGCTCACTAAATGTGGACATGGCACCGAATACCTCGAACAGCTACGTTCCACCGGACATGAATGGCCAATTCCAGGCTGAGCCATGGAATGTCTATACTCAGAACTCTCAGGCCAACTTCTATTATTTGGCCACCGGTGAGTTCCCGTTCTGTCCCTGCATCGTATATGTATGGTGAATCGACTCTGACACTTAACAGAGACATCACTGCCTCAGTTATTGCAGATTTTGGACAATGGAGGAAATTTGAAGCCCAAGGTAATCATTTTGCTTCAACCAAATTCCCATCAAGCAGGCGTTCCACCACCGTCTACGTCTCAACCTCCCTCACCAGTGGAGCAAGCTCCAGCCACGAGCTCGTTTCCCATGCAAAGCTTGACATGTCAGTGTCACAATCGAAATTTCTTATCCGAGTCTCCTGTAGACTGGATGCATCCAACTGTCTCTATAAATATCTGTCCCTTACATTCTTCACCACCATTGGATGGCTATCAGCAGAAACTTACATGAAGCAGAACAGTGCGAGAAACCAGGCATTGGTATTTCCTAATAACCGGCATAGATAAGGTGTTAAACGGTACATGGGTGTGTTTGTTCAAAGTTCTAGTTATCATTTTCCTAATTCCAATATACTTTTTACATACAAAGTGGCCTTGCCTCTCCCTCTATTCAACAAAGTAGGATCACGATCACTCATACACTCAGCCCCAACAAACCAATCCCAAAAGACGCGCCATTCTCAATATTAAGCCCAGCCACCAAACCTCTAATACTCCAACCGGGGAACCCTTCCCGCCCAACTGTCTCAACAAATAAGAACACCTTCGCCCTTACCCCATTTAAGCAATTTCAAGAAACGCCAAGATAGATCTTCTCCACCTAATGCAGCCCATACCACAACTGAACTGTCGATATCACATCTCTCCAGTCACGCATGTATACAAATACTTACTTTGGTTTGCCACCGAGTCTTTTCTTTTCTTTTTCTTTTTCTTTTCCTTTTCCTTTTCCTTTTCTTTTTCTTTTTCTTTTTCTTTCTTTCTTTCTTTCTTTCTTTCTTT